AGACAGAATAACAGGACAAGATATCAAAGGAAAGACAAAGTTGGTTGGATAACATTAAGAGTCCTATTCCTCCCATGAACGAACCAAGTATCACTGTAACAGTGAGAAAGAGCTACTTGTATTCTGCAGTAAAAATAGACTGAATAACCAAGTGTATTCACAGTTGTTTTGGTGCCACCATGGTTAATGTAACTGCTTTTAATTGGTTGATCTGGGTTTACTTTGTGGCCAACAGGCATGGCTGATAGGGTCTAGCTAAGGCAGTGGCACTAAGGAACTTGATACTATTACCAGTTCTGGCATACAGTTGCTCTGGGCACTTCATCTCTTGTTACCTCCTGTTCATAGTGTATACAATGGGAATAATATCTGCCTAAATTCACAAGTAAGAAAACACTTGTTTTAGGTGCTTAGGTGATAATGTGGGTTCCAGAGAAAAATCTACTTAATAAAATACTAGCAGGTAGGGTAAAAAGGAACATGTCTAAAAAAATCTGGATGTCATCTATATGATGATAAAAAAAAAAACGGCCTGGGACAGAAACATATGACAATCTTTCCTATATTTGTGTTTTGGACATATGTCAGACATTCTACAGCATACAAGGAAAGAAGCTAATTCCTTTTGCTGCTTATATTAGCCACAAGATATATTTGTACATATTGATGATACCATTGCAGATGCATATGTATGAATTCTAACACTAACATGATCTAGAAATAATACCATGCATTAAATTACCCACCAAAGATGGCATCCCTACAAACTAGATACACTCTATTACAATATACTATATACCAGAGTCTGTATTGGCAAGAAAGAAAATATAGATCCCATGGAAGAGGCAGTTTGTGTGGTTCTGCCAAAAACATTTACATGAAAGCACTATTTCGCAGCAGCAATATCTCATTGTTCTGAGTACAAAATTGTGGGGAAGGAAAAGCAACTTATATTGCCAGTATGGGCCAAATTTGCCAATGGCCTAAGTGGGAGGTTTACTTAATTGATGTCTGTCCTGTATTTCAGTGCACTCTGATAGATAAGAGAATTCCTGATTCTGTCTCCTTGGGTATATTATGCAGATAAGTGTCCACAATGCAGAGCAGAGAAAGTCTTTCTGTTGCTTAAGGCGGTGAAGCTCTGGCCTAGGGCTGTGGCTTAGGGTCAAATTTTTAACTAAACTTGGGCCAAGAGTGGTCAGTTTTCATCACCCACAACAGGGCCAGATTTTTTGTGACTTCAAGCTTCATTTATGCACCTAAAAAGGGCCCAGATTTTCAAGCTTTCTGAGCTCTTTGGAAAACCTGGCCATTTGCTCTGGTGCCTAAATAGAAGCTGAACTATCTGGAAAAATCTGGCACCATTCGTGGATGCTGAGTTCTTTAGAAAACTCTGTGCTACAGGAATAATCTCGTCTTTACTGAATAAGCAGTTCCAAAAAAGACTGCTCACCTGCATCTCTCTGCTTAGTATTACCTAATCAATATAGGACAGCACTTTGTAATAACACAGAGAGATGAGCAGGTCACCTTCTACATATGTGCACACACACACATACTTTCTGTAGACATTTCATCTATGCCTGAGGAAGTAATTGGTGCATGCATGCTTTGGAAAATGCTCAAAGTTGTTTTTCTGTGCAAATAAACAAAGTGCTCATTGGTACCATATTTTTTCATTTGGGCAGTGCATAATTGCTTGTCTGCTTTTATGTCTGGTTGGGAAGTTGTGAGGAAAAAAGGAAGGAAACAAAAAAAAAGTAATACTGACAGGACAACCATTACCAGTGAGTCACTTTGCTGGTATTCAAGCATAAAGAGTGCATTAATTATTATTGAATCAAGCCAGATGTTTAAAACTAAGCTGATAATTTAGATAAATCTCATACTAAGCACTGCAGATCAAAAATGAACTACTGCAATCATGTCTCTATATATTTCCCTGTACACAGGTTGCCAGTATAAACTGCACAACCACTTATGCTATTATGTAGATATATAAGCTTTGCAGACTTTCGGTAAACTCTTATTTCATCCATAACTAAATGTTATTTAGTATGAAGACTAGAAAATAAAAAGCAGAATTACTGGGGCGAACATGTAAAAGTGAAATGTTGCTAATCATTACCTCAGTATGCTACCTTCCCACTACTTTTAGAAAGAAGATGGGAAAGGGTAATTCAGATATTATAGTGTAGACACTGCTTAAGCATATCCTAGAAGAACTTAATATTTAAATATATATGTATTTCAAGCTACTTCATTTTGTTGGAAAAAACAAAGAACTTTATGGTATTTATTTAAACAGAATTCAATCAAGATTAAAGCAATCTACTGTACCTTTCTTGATGCCGGAGAATACCAGCAATGAAAACAATATAACATTATATCATAAATCACTAATGCAGACACAGTGTCAGAAGCCCCCCACCTTGTTAACTGTATATACCAGAGTTAATAGGATACTTTTATGAGGAAAAAACTGATCACACAAAAAGTGTATAAAAGCTGTAAGATTTCTCACTGCATGTGATCCTTTTTCCCCCCTACAGATATAAAATGAGTCTGTTAATTTTAAGCTGAGAAAATAAATCCCCAAGCAATGCGAGAAATGTTTGAAGGAAAAGATGTGACAACAACAAAATATGTTTTAAACCAAATGACTAAATAATGATTTTCAGAGTCCTATTTTAGACCCCACTCACATTAATCAAATTAATGTAACACTGAATTACCTTCCTATTTTTTATCTGAAAAAGATCATACTGGTGTTTTAGTGGAATGTGCAGCCTCTGATTATTTAAAAGAGAGGCTATAGTTTTGCAGGGGCAAGTTCACTTGTATATATGAGTACAATGATTGGTAGAAGTCAGATATCTAACAACCGGAGTTGTATGTGCAAACTTAAACTGAAATCTTTAATGCTAGCAATGGAAACATTCTGTTAAAACAAAGCCAAGTTGGTGTAAGGTAGCTGTCTTGTATCTCATATCCTCTTTCCATTAGTTTAGGTTAAAATCAACATATGATTTAATTAACATAAGGGGAGGAGGAGTTTTCACTTTAACATACTTTGAATTTAATACATTAAACCATATTTATCACTGACATTATCTTAGTTATAATTTACGTTTAAGTTTATAGGAATTGCAAACAATTAAGATACAGATTATTTTGGCTCATTATATGTCGAACATACTATTAGGCTTTCTTTTAAATAATGCCTTACAGAGTCATCCATTACTACTCACTACCGTTGGAAAAAAAGAGATACTTAGCTTCTTACCCCTCTCCTTTTTTCTTTCTTATGTAAGCTTCAGAAATGTTTCTTGTGCAAATAGTTTTATATTTGCAAATTAAAAAGCAAAACAGTACAAAACTGTTCAGTTTAGACTTCTAAAATGTGGTAATTTTGATATTCTGTTCATTGAATATAATCTTAGGAAATGCTTTTCCTCTAAGTGAGAAATATTTTGAACTTTCCATGCTCAAAAATAAATCCGGTTCCAAGAAAAAAAAAGAAAGATGGATTTTGGTCACTGAGTGGTACATCAGAATTACTATATCTAGGTTAAAAATAAAAGGCTATATTAAATTAAGAAGATGCAATCACAGGAATGGAGGGTATTTTGCAGAGAAATGAACAGCACTTTTTGTTTTGCATGTTTTTGAATTATATTTCCTATTAAAAATGCCAAGTGCTAAATCATATCATAAAGACAAACAGAAAAGTACAACTTCATTGTTGAAAACAATTTCCCTCCTATCAATCTGAGGATTTGTGCATCAATATTGTAGATGAACTGTTAATTACAAAATCAATTAAAAAATTATTTCTAAAAACAGTCACGCGTCCTGGCTCTCAGGGGGGCAATTTGGGCAGAAGGTCTCATCTCACTAGGACCGCGCCAAATCACAAGTCGTCATCCACAAGTAAGCAAAAGCAATCTGGTTTTTCATTTTTCAGCGCGGCTGAGCCCAGCCTGAGATTGATCGTCACATATGGCCCCAGAAAACAAACTGTCAATACCTTGAATGCTGCAGAATTTGAACAAATAGCCGTCCGCCCATTCAAGCCACTCATTGCATCCCATTTAACAGATTTTATTGACAGTTTCCTTCTTGTAATTAAAGGGAAAACTACTGGCCAGCAACCAAGATAAAGTTCAAAGATAGGGTCAAAACAAAAGCAGATGGAGGGGCACGGTGTGACTGTCAATGGTACATAGCATCAGAGCATGTTATTGACACACAGGTATCTAATGATCGGCACGTCATTAAAGAGGGATCTATCGTGAACTTTATGCAAATGCTAAAAGGGACTTAAGACCACAATAAAGCATTAAGGAGACACAAAAGGAAAAACAACAAAGCACCAACGATTTTTACTTATCAGACACTGTTCACTGCTTCAGCACTTTTAAGTTCAAATGTGGAGAAAAATACTTTCTGCAATTCTTAACCCATTCTGCACAAGTAATATATTTTAGTGAAACTTTAGTATAAAATAGGGGATCCATACAGTGAAGTGTAGTCCCTTATAGATTAAACAGGGATTTCCCTCCTTTGCACGTACCCTGGGTTCACTTTACCAATATGTTTAGTAGCTGTATTTAAGGAAAGCATATATTCCATATAATCTTGCCTCCATCCATTCAATTTAAGTAAAATGATTAGACTTATCTGGATTATGAAATGGATTTGGTAGAACAACATCTATATTCATTTGAAAGGATCTTTGCTTGTATAATACCTTCCATATTATCCAGTGTATTATTTTTACTGCATTAGTAATATGTTCTACTGCTTAAAACTGTAAAAATCTTCCTTAATTTGAATTGAATTTTTGCAGCCTTTTAGCAGAAGACCCACGGTCACCTAAGCTCTGATTAACAATTAATTATTCCTAAAACATAGTGAGATCAACCATACAGAAGGTATTATTGGAATGAAAAGGTGATATGAAAAAAATGTAGTAACCGTCATGCCAATCTGCCAACCTGAATTAGCAAGCGCTATAGCTTTGAGGGTGACAAACTCTTCTTTCTCCAGCTTCATGCTCTTGTATTTCTTTACCAGCTGCAGGATGGCGTTGTTGAGGTCAAGAAGGCCTGCCAATTTGGACTGCTCTTCATCCATTATATAATCTTCAGCATAGACAAGCTCATCTTCAAAAGACAGTGATCGGTATACAACACCCAGAATCAAAATCTCCATCCAAGCACTCTGCAGAAGGCTCATCTGGTCAGCCAGAGACAAAGTGGAGAAACCTATAAAGTGCAAGGAAAAATATTAAACAGGTGTTGATACATCAAATCTCTGCATCATAACAAGAATTTTCTGTCATTTTGTTTTTAGGGAAATTACTGATTGGTACAAATGCATTCCACAAATTTCCCTGCCTCTTCAAGATCAGTCAGCATAAAATTAAAGGGCTTCTATTCAAGGTAAAAGTTAAAAGCCAGCCTGAATCTGTAGGCATTTTCTGCAGGAGTTACAGTAATTTGGGAAGTTATAACTGCAGTGTAGAATGGCTTGCACATTCTCTCCTTAGTAGAAATCTTCTAAAATCTAATGCTACGTGGCTATGATCTGTTGTCAACTAACAAGTAAGATAATAAAAAGCTTTGGTCCAAAGGGCTTTTGTTAGCAGACTCTTGGCTCTGTTCATCGGTGCTGTAAAGAGAATGAAGCAATGATGTCAGAGGCCCCCTTTAAGCCAAGGAGGATATTTTCGATAAAAACTTTTTTTAAGAGGGAAGATTGGATACCTTAATAGAATTAAGGTGATTATCACAACGAACAAAGTGCTCTTTGAACTTCAACCTCAGCAGAAAGAGAAGTAAGACCTACTCTCTTCAGAAAAAGACACTAATTACTTCTGTAATGGCTTCTGCCTCTACTATGCTTGCTGAAATAACAGGATGGCACATTAAAGTGCCAAGTGAATAGTAATCACACCATCATTTTTGTGAGGGAGAGAGAAAATTTAATAATGCCTCTTAATAAATTTAAGTTTTGCTTTCCTTTTTTCTGCTCTCTTTTTTAATAGGATCACTAGGGGCAAACATCTTTACTGTCTTACCTTTTCAGGATCTTGTTTACAGTAGCTCTTCATTTATTATATCAAACTGCTAATATCCCCAATCACATTAGGAGGTACAGAACAATATGGGAGAGGAAGTGATTTCCTGGCCTGTTGGTGAAATGTAGTAGTTTGCCAGTTGGCACCATCAACCACAAGTACTTAATAAAATCATCAAAGGGGATTAGTCAAGCTTTTCTTGAGGGGGTCTTAAGACATGTCTGAAGCTTTCATGTAGTTGTTTATGGAGCTGCTCACATGTTCTTTGACAGGGTTCCCGCAGCAAAAACAGTCTTTTTGTTATTCAATTATACCTCAATGCATTGCTCCTGTTTTGAAAATCTGGAGTAAGGATATAACAGACACGGGCAAATCTATACAGGCATTCGCTGCAAACAAGATTCTCTCTCTTGTACTAAGGGAGCGAAATATTACTTTTCTTTCAAAATAATGTATCCAAAGCTGTAAGCATCAACAGGGCTGAAACACAAAACTGGTTGTATGCTCTCTTTTATTTGTTTTCATTTGTTCATACTGCCTCTCCTGCCCTGCGACAGAACAGTAGTTCCCTGCCTTCCAAATAAAACCACCCAAAACTGAGCTAACCACCACCACAACAACCCCCCCCTAAAAAAGTGACACTGGACAAAAGCAGGTCTATGATTAAATAAATAAGAAGGAAACGGGAAAGAAATAATCATTTGAAAGGTTTATAAGGAGGAATGCATGCGTTCAATTAGCTGCTGTGTTTCTGTTCCTTTCCCTCATCTCAAGAACCAGTTTTTCTGCAGCAGCAGATGGACAGAGAATGTAGCCTGCAGCACTGTCCTGTGACAGCCCTATTCTCCCTCCCAGACACTGCTGTTAGTAAATAGATTTACACATTCTCCAATCTCCACACATCTTTCTGCCGAATAATTAAAAGCAGGATGATTAGTTTATTGAGTGGAAGGAGGAACTTTTTTATTGAGGTCCATCCATGATTTTATCAGGGCCAGCACTTTTACGGTTGTCATGAGGGTGCAGGCATCCAATTTTTCTTATCTGCCTGATTAATACAAACGCTGTTTCAGGACGCATTAATTAACAGATACAAATCTACGTTCTCATGGAAGGATCAATACAGAGAAGAAAAGAGGCATCAATGTGAATTTAGTGCTGATGATGGAGAAGGCACTCTATTGACATTTACGTGCATGGAAACTTTAAAGTTGCAGTAGAGCCCTTTTGTCCCTGTGATTTACAAATTAACAATTTTTCAGCCATAACAATGTTTCACACACTTCTGAGGAGTTTAATTAAGCAAAAAGCAATAAAATCAGTTTTGATTTTTGTTTAAAAGTTGAACTTGTAATTTGTCTCCTTTCTATTTTTCTGAAACCCCCTCAACTTTCTTCTTGTATGTACTTATCTCATTTTGCACTGAGTTTTTACAAATTACTGAATGTTTCAGGACCACATTTATCATGTGCTTCAATCAGAGGAAGTCACATCCACCCTGTACAGAAAAAAAATAGGACACTGCTTGTGATTTACTGTATTGTATGTTGTTAACAAAAATTTCACAGGAGAAGCTTAAAAATCATTGACACTGTTGAAACTGACAACTTTAAAAACCACTGTAATATATTAAATAAATATAACATAATTAATATATATTTAATGTATATTATATGTGTGTGTCTATATATATATAATTAGAAAACAGGAGCACATTGTGGTTTAGTTTTGTGTGTGTGTTTGTGTGTGTGCAGGTGCATGTGTAGTCATTTCCTTCTCTATTAGAGGCAACTTTTTCTGTGAAGCCTACTCAGTGAAAGCACGCTTTAACTCTTAAGGACATTCCTCATGGGAAAGCATCATGTTGTAATTAACCTTTTTTCCTTTTTGTCAGAAAATTTGGAAAGCAAATGGTGTGTTTCATAACACAACTGTCCTTTTGTTATATCCCAACACAATACAATGAGAGTAAGGGCTATGTAGGAATACATATTTACATACTGAGATATTTTGAAATTGAGAACCTTATTCTCTTATTTCTTCTCAAACTTTTGATCTGATCCTGTTAACTTTACCCATGTGACCTTTCCCTTTGCATTACAACTCTAATGGTATCAAGGCAACAGGAAGCAAAAGGACCAGTTTGGAAATACACAAGAAACTTCAGTGAAAAAATATTTTAAAACTCATTTTTAAAACTATTTTTATTGGTGTGGTGATGACACTACTATCAAATCAAAATGATAATAATTAAATACCTGAGGCACTTTCATTAAAAATACTAAGCTAAACTAATAACCCAAATAATAATTCTTCCAAGTAGAAACTAATATTAAATTGCTGCATCAATTGCTTTTTTCTGACAAGTCAATATTTTCTAATGAAAATTTATTTGAAAAGAGACCTCCAAACTATGTGTTAAATACATTTCCAGCTATCTGGACTAATTAAATGCTTCCAGCTCATAACAGTGAGCTCTTTTCACACAGACATAAGTTGTTGTATTATAGAGTGCATTGCACAGCTCCTTAATCCCCGGTGTTTGACAGGTCATGGATTTAAATGCACATTCATATTGTGGTGCTTTTTCCTCCCCGCTTAGCATGTACTATTCCACGCACATTGGTGATGACTTTGATTTCTCTTCATCTCCTGCCCCAACTTGGTACCATTTAATGTATCTCAGGCATTTGCTAGCAGAATGACTCTGTACCTTGACCTGCAGTTAAATAGCATGCTTATCTGCAGTACAGTGTACTCCAAATAAACCAGATGACAGTTTGGAATAACGTCATTTGGACGGATTGAAAAGCTTCTCAAGAGTCAGGTACCCCTGAGGTAATAAGCTTGAAGGAAGCATGTTTTGTGCCAACCCTCCTGCCATCTTCTTCTAGACGCTCATGTGCTTGACAATGATGCCATGGGCACTTGTCAAGATTTTTTTATTTTTTTTTTGCCTAGCAAACTGATGCACTTTGCAGTCAACTTACAAAAAAGGCTAAGCATTTGAAAGTGTGAAGGGCAAAAAATATCTGACGGCTAGTCTTCAAAAATACACTTTCATTTCAGAAAGCATAAATGTTTATTTCCTGAGCTGAGTGTTGACAGAAGTAGGCTGCAGCACAGGCATATGAATTTAACCCCTAGTAGGCATTCTGTTCAGCGCTGTTTTCATATAGCTGAATGTGAATCTACAGGGTGTCTTGTAATATCAGTTAACAATGGCTGATTTCCTGGCCATGTTCCTCCCCTCAGCACCCCCCTCTTCTTTTTATTCTTTTTTTGAAGGGGAATTATAACATTGCTCTCACTAAACATTTGAGCCTTTTCCACAAACAGTGCATCACACTCAAATTGTAATTATCCCGTAAGGACTTACTGAGATCACTAAAAGTGTACTGAGAGAAGGTTGACTGAGCAACTTAACATATGCTTGATTTTTTTTTCTTTCACATACCGATAAACTCAATGCTCACACTAAGTCAGGAATACAGGTAACAAAGGTCTTACTGCTTTTATTACGTGAACATATATCAAAGAGCCAAACTGTGCTGTCTGTAGTGTTAGGTGAGCCACACTCATTTAGCAGTCTCGTAAATGGGGCTATTTAGACCGTTGCTCTCTTCAAATATCAGCACATGCACCACTTGCTTTCTATTTTACATTGCACACATCTTCATGCTAAACAGGGAAATCTTTTATATTCCTGAAGACCCTTTTCTCTACTTCATTAAGATGGACTTTATGGACACTAACTCACTAGGGGCTAGAGTGAAGCAGCTGCAGATGGTCAAGTGACAAAGCAAGATCTGTAGCAGCATATACATAGTGCTATGAAAACTCTTACAAAAAGAGTGGCTACAATTATGCCTGCTATTATTGTCAGCATTGAATATTTGATGCCCTAAATCTGGCTGCTCCTTTAACACACTTTCCTTGTGCTTCACATTAAACTAGCTTTATTACCTCTCTAATATGTGTTTCTAAATCAGAATTTTTATCATATTGGCTATGAAATAACTGACAAATCTGGAAGTCGCTGATGTTTTGAGATAATCAGGCCCCATTTATTTAACCATTTGTTTCAGTGTTTGCTGGGTCTATGAGCAAAACGTTACTCAAGCTTTCATTGGTTTTATACTTCAAATATCTTCATTTACATTTCTTATAATCAAAGCTGTGCTT